CCCGAAATGGAGGTTGCAAGTCCCTTTGGGGCAGAGGTCTGCCCTTTTTTGTATGGCAGGGCTGTCCACACTGCACTTTTCATTGCACATCCATGTTTGGCGCATGCTGGGCAGCCAAGGCAGCTCTGGAAATCCCTTTCCCTCCTTTATATTGTGCCAGAATCAGCTGTGAGCAGATTATCAATTCGTGATGCAAAAAAAATTGTGAGTCCAATCTGAAAGAAGTTATTCCAGGAGGTTGGGATTAGGCCTTCATCTAATATATTTCTGAAATTCATTCCTCTTCTGTGGTACATGAACAAGCAGCTTACAGGACGTAATCAAACTCCGGGAATTTTCTTCTTCTTTTTATATATATATTAGTTTATGACTGTTCTCATGCTGTTACTGTAGCTGCTACCTTCTGCCACAGAGAGAGAGAGAGAGAGAGCAAGAGAGAAAACATGTTCCCTTGGTCGTTAATGTCTTGTTGCTTTTGCTAGAAGGCTGACCAGCCGGTCCAAAGAGCCATCAATTCAGTCCCTTATAACTTCTTAAACAACAGCCAGCAACTCCTTGAAACTTGAAGTAAGGAGCTTTAACAAGTGAGCATATTTCAGCAAAAATCTTTCCTGAGAGGGTCAAAGCAGAACAGAACTCAAACTATTTAAAGCATGTTTTAATTAGAAGTTGTACATAGACACTAATTGCTGCTCAAGAGCCCATGTTAAAACCTTAACAAAACACACCCTGAAATTGTATGAAAGAAAAATCAACTACACCATATGTGTTTCCTTTTCTCCATAAGACTAGGGTCCAAATAGCTCATTGCAAAAGCCACCAACCTTATAAGTTCTTCACTATGCATAAACCCTGGATAAAAATGATTAATTGGTAAAAGCAGTCTCACTGAAAATGATGGGGCTAAACTGAAGTCTTGTTTTAGGCATGGCAAACAGCAGGCCTAACTCGGAGGTGCATCTGAGTGCCCGGGGGCTTGGCGTCAGCCAGAAATCCCCTTCCAGCACCAGCGTTCCTCTTCTGTTGCTAGCTCAACATTCTTCTGCTGGCCAATCTCAGAGATCTGCAAGCGGCAAGAGAACCACGTTGCTGGGCGAAAGTTAGGAAAAACCTCTTAACTGTTAGAGCAGTACAACAATGGAACCCCCGACTTTGGGAGGTGGTGAGCGCTCCAACGCTGGAGGCATTCAAGGGGAAATCGGACAACCGTCCACCAGCTCTGCTTTGATGTAGATTCCTGCCTTGAGCAGTGTTTGTACTTGGTGGCCTTAGAAGCTACTTCCACTATTCTATGATTCTACGACCTGCCAGTGGAAGAGCCGAAACAGGGGCCAAGAAGGAGCGAGGTGGGAAGAAGGCTGATTCGGGCAAGGTCAAAACCTCCTTCAACCCAACCTGGTGGCCCGACTGCTGGGCCACCATAGAGGAAGGTCAAGGCAAAGGTGGGTCCCCAGTCATTTCCAAACCCCTCCCCTTGCTGGGAGAGGTTTGCACCCGGCACCACCTCAGCTCAGCTGGCTCTCAGCCCAAAGGGCCACTCGATATTGTGCTCTGGGTCTGGATCCAACCATTTCTCTTCTGAAATTTCCCAACAGATAGAAGGGGTGTGTGGGGGACAAGACTGTGAAAGAAAGGCAAGGGACCCACAGGGGTCTGCAGTTCCTACAAGCACTGAGAGATAAGGAAGAGGAGACAGGAGGAGTCACCCCTCCCAACAACATCTGGAGGGCCACATGTTCACCATCCCTCCTGTAAACACCTTGAAAAATCCCCTCTCTTCTTGCAGTGCTTAAAGGCTGCCATTTCCTCATGCACTTGATCCTTTACACTTCCCGAAAGCTGTCTGCTCAGCTATTTCAGTAAGGCAGCACCTCTCCTGCTGCTCTTAATGCAGGGCTTTGGACATTCTCAGCTCGGGTGCAGGACTGGAAAAGGCCCACCAGCCCAAACACCCTCCAGCCTCTAGGCCACCAGGAGAAGAAGCAGGCATGACAGAGGAACAGGTCCCTGTGAGCCACCGCAATGGCCATCAATATCTCACACTTGTGTGGTTCAAGACCAAGCAAAAGAGCTGCTGCTTTCATTCAGGGGGACCCACCCAATGGGACCTGGACATCCATCAGGGTTAGGGTTAGGGTCCCCAAAGCCGATCCACTGGGGTCCACACAGCTGACCTGCTTTCACCCTCTGTTTCCTGGCAGTGTGACGAAAAGTGGCTCCTTCCTGAGTGAAAGGGGAGCAGATTCACACGTGCACGGTACAACCCAGCACCCAGCGCACAGCTGGACTTTGGGGAAGTGAGTCCAGAGAGAGGCCTCCAGTCGGTGGCATCGTGAGGCAGTGAAAACATTTTTTCTGGGGGGTGTCGGATCTGCATTGGCCCATTCATATGTCAAGTGCGGGACTTCATCAAGGCCAGGGCACACACACACACACACACACACACACACAAACACACACACCATGTGTCCATGCCACAAAGAGCCGCCCTTTCTTTCTGAAAGGAGAGCAATGGAGAGGAACCCAGCTGATTTAAATGCTCCACTCCCCAGAGGCGGATGTCTTTGAACAAGCAGTGGCTGCTCAGAACTTCCTTTGGATTTATGGCACTCGAGCTGCGGTTGAATTTCCCCGGAAGCAAACCTGCCTGTTGGACTAAACCTCCCTCTGCATGCCACAAAGAGCAGCCCTTTCTTTCTGAAAGGAGAGCAATGGAGAGGAACCCAGCTGATTTAAATGCTCCACTCCCCAGAGGCGGATGTCTTTGAACAAGCAGTGGCTGCTCAGAACTTCCTTTGGATTTATGGCACTCGAGCTGCGGTTGAATTTCCCCGGAAGCAAACCTGCCTGTTGGACTAAACCTCCCTCTGAACTCTGAAGGAAGCTAATGGGAGTCCTGAAGGATCACCCGGGAAATGTCAGTGGCACTCCAGCAAAATCTTATGCCAGAAGGATAAATCCACCCTCTCTTTTTTTGTTATTAGTCCCACAAGGCTGCCTCCCTGCTCTTTCCAGTTACTCTAGTGTGGCAGTAAGAAGTCTGTCCCTCCAGGTAAGAAGAGTTAAATTTCTCAGGAGGCCTTGTGCCTCTCTAATTCCTCTGTTCGATGTCCCAAAGATCAAACCCTGGCATTAAAACAGCTTTCAAGGCTGTGCAGCTGCTCGTAGGGTTGGGACGTTTACAGCAGCTTCCTGTAGGTGAAGGAGTCAAAGCAATGAAAAAGGGCGAGAATGATTACAGCTCTGTGGGACGGGAGGGTCCAAAGGTCATGGGGGGCGAGAGCTGTCAGGGTGGGGAATCCTTGGCCTCCACCCAAAAGAGCCTTTGCTGTAGAGGGAGCCTCCTCCATTCTTCCCAAAAGAAGTGACTGCATACAAACTGCCACCTCCCGCCAGACACACACACACACACACACACCCCGGTGGCTTCAGGGCATCCTTGGGCCCTGCGCACCCTTGGAAGAAGTCCAAGAACAACCCCATCTAGTCTGCCAGTCGCCTTGGTATTCTCCAGGATCCCGTTGTTAATTGCACCCTTAACTGAGAAAACAACGGCCATACATCAAAACTTGGCAAGGGCGACCCGTCAGGAAATGTGAAGCCTGAAATCCTAGGGGCCGGTGCAGCCAACAGAGACCCAAACTGTGGAAGCGCAAGACCACACAGAGACCCATGTCATGGACCAGGTCTCTTTATGTGGAGGTGGGGGTGGCAGTGAGGGGAGAGAGAGAGAGAGAGAGAGAGAGAGAGAGAGAGAGAGAGAGTAGCAGCAATTTTCTTAATCAGTGCAGTTTCTCTTGCGGTTTCTCTTGTTTTGGCTCTGTGATGCTACCGCAGGCCTTCAGCACTAAGAGACCCCGGGTGAAGATGCTGCCGATCTCATGGGGATTTCTGAACTTCATGAGTCAGAGGGCTTAAG